ATAAAATATAATAACCTATCACGAGCAATGTAATTCGCGAAACTTGCTTGCTTAGTCACCAAATGGCTAATATTAAAGACAATATATTTTCCCATCCACTGGGTAAGTAATATATCGTATGTTATATATTTCCCAAAAAAAACCGGATATTTAAAAAAAATAATTTATAATTGCAATTGGAACTTACTTTAATAAGTAAAGAACAAAACTTACATACGAGTGTCTATTCGTATGTAAGTATTGTCATCAGCATAACAGGTTATACAAATCTTTCAATATTTATAACTTGATTTTATATTTTAACGTTTTGAGGGTAAAGTTCAAAATGAACTGGAGATATTGGACATATCGACATGTATCCGTGTTTACAATTTTCTTTTAATTCGTTTTTTTGTAGTTAATATTCGTGTCGGTTTTCCATAAACCTAATGCTTTAGCTTCTAACTTTGAGATCTTAAAAATGTGATGTTTTCTCATATTTATTTTATTTATTACATAATTATAAAACATTAATCCAATATTTATTTATTCACTTATATTATTTAAACTTATTTTATTTCAAGAGAGCACGAATTAGCGTGGCTTTCGTAGCCTGAATATGATTCCACGCAACACGAACATATTTTCCACTTATATTCGACTCATACTCCGCCCGCCATCGTTTGATCAACGTAATAATTCAATAATGTATGACGTCCATTGACATACATTTATCATTTGATCACCCACGAAAAATATCTAATTAAACCGAGTACGCATTGAAATCCGAAACGAACACTGTAATTAAACGTTCCATATCCGCTTTCTATTCGGTCGTAAATACGTGACTGGCATTTATATTGTTGTGATCTATTTTATACGTCCATCTTGACGATGACAATACACAATGGAGTGTAGTTAGGAATAGGGTACGTCAACAAAGACAGAGGCTTTATTATAAAAGAAAAAAGGACTAATAGTAAACTTGTTGTGATCCTGCTGTTTGTGATAGGGTTCTGCCCTGTTTTTGATGATAGGGCAGAAGGTTTTGGCCACTCCCCTCTTTTTAGCAATTTTGAACTTTAAAGCGTATTAACTAACGCTGAAAAAGATAGAGATCTGGCTACCAGGTAATTGGAAAGGAAATCACGAAAACACACCGTCACAGGTCACAGCTGTAAATTAGTATTCTCACTGAAGCTTTACATCTGTTTTCGCAAGTCTAAAAGTATGAATGACATTTATTTAAAAACTGAGAATTTAGAAAATAAACATGCCAAAAAGGTTTGCGTAGCAGGTCACTAAGGTCACCAACAAACGCATATACAAATATATTTACTGTGAACGGTTTTTTAAATGTTTCATTATGGCAAAACTAATTGCGTATAACAGCTATGATGTATATTCGTCGTAAATCTCGAAGTGGCCAAAACTAGCTCATAATCGTAAACTAGCCAAAGCCGGATCATCTGTCCTAATTGTAAGGGGAAATTATGTTCCAGAAGACTTACAGCTACCAAACAGAAATGATGGAGATAGATAACCAGTTGATGGCCCTCACAAATAAGAGTCATAGTTAACACGTACAACTAGTAAAACATTACTGGTATACAATTAGAGTTTTGAACTGAAAAACTTATTATTTCGTACGGTTTTTCTTGAGAATTAATAAAAATTAATATAGATAGTTACTTTTGTAAGGTAGTCGCATTATACTTGCATTATTTAGTTGTAGTATTAAAACCGAAGATCCTTACTTCTTTGTCCTGCTGTTTTGAGGGCCATTTCCGGAAGGCGTTATAATATCAGGGACCTAATAGTCTAATTAAAAAAAATATCGCAATCCCTTTCAATTTAATATTTGAAATATATTCACGAACTTCATGCTACAACTATTTGAGATGCAATGAGAATTGATATTGCAACATTCTTTTGAAAAATATTGAACGAAGGATATCATTGATATGACGTCATTTGAAATGATCTAAGCAAAAAGAAAAATGCTTGAATGCTATTGAGAAATGTAGAACAAAAGAATTTAACGCTAACCACGATATTTGGACGAGTTAATCTTAGTTTAATTTATTAAAATCATTATTCGTTAGCAACATATCTTTGAAAGGAATTGAGATAGATTTTGAAATAAGACAATTAGCTGACAGGTATTAAAATGCCTTTAGGAAATGACCTAGTACAGATGAACAAGGTCTAGCTGGCTAGAAGCAGACAATCTTTTAGCTGTCTAAAAAACTGTTGAACCACCGCCATCCCCGGCGATAAATATCGATGTTTTGTCATAAATAGAGTATTTTATGAACAAAGAGCTCTTTGTGTGCTACACGCAAAACAGGAATATTTTGCTAGATAAAGATGTAACATTATGTTAATAGGATATTCTACTATGAGTAGCTGGGAAACCCTCATTAATTAATATTTCGCAAATAATATTTATAAAGTTTAAATAATAATAAGTCATTACTCACAGTTTTCTTCTATGATAAAGCTATGTAAATATTTATAGTAATAATTTACTTTATTTTTATAATTTACTTAGAGGGTCAGAGTGGTCAATTTCCGCCATTTTTTAAATAACATAAAAAAAATTTTTTTCCATTTCCCATTAGTCCCGTTTTTATAACTTCAGCACAGACCCATAGAAACCAAAATTTACATAATTTTTAAATACTCTAAACTTAGATATTTAGATCAGTTTTGTGTACAATTTTATAGAGAATATTTTATTCAAATAAATTGTACCTATGTTCAATTTTGCTGGGTCTAACTACATAATGTAAATTGAGAAGCGTGGGGAGCTCAAGATAGTAAGTACATGTTTGGGCACCTATCCCGTAAATGGCCTTTGCAATAGTTGCTTCTACAGATTTGTTAATTCCTCATTCATAGTACTACCTCAATAAATAAAACAGGGGCCGTGCTCTGTTAATAAATTTTCTATATATCCAATCCGATTTTCGATAATTCTATTTAAGTATTTTCATGTTATTGCATCTTCTTTTATTTCAATCATATACTTTCGAAACAGTTGTAAAAAATGTTAATAAATTATAATACAGATATACATATCACTAAATTCATGGTACTTAGTCTCTCTTTACTGTATTAGAGAAGAACAGACACGGAAACAATCCCCGATATATCGAATGTCGATTTTAAGAGTGCAAGCCGGCTATTGATATCTATCAGTGAGGCAAGAATATTGTAGATTGAAGATAAAATTATCAATCACAATTATTATTTACCCATGAACATGATAGACAACTGCAAATCTAACATGAGTATTCGTTAAGATTTATAAAACTGGAGTATGTCAAGTGTTTTGATAATAATGTCAATATTTAAGTGGATTGTTATCGAATAAATACAGTAGTAATTATTATAAATATATGTTTTAAGAGAACAAGTAAAAAGTTATGTAGGAAAATAATATTAAAATAGGAATGATGACTGGGTAAAAAAAAATGCAATTCTATTTAGTCCGTCAGTCAGATAATAGAAAAATATTAGATACGTATTTTTTTACTTCAATTTAACAAGAAATAGCTTAGATAACAAGCATTAAAGTTGAGGAGTGGGGGCTCGCTACGTCACAGTTGAGTAGAAAACGTACTCTAACGTGACGTCATGCGAAATTTCAACTCAGTGTAACGCCGTAATTTTATGATTACGAAAAAAATAAGTGTTTAATATTTTTTAACACTCTACCTGACGGACAAACAAACAAAAATTAGTCATCATCATCTACGTATTCGACTTTTATATTTACACTTTATTTTACTTTGACAGACTTTGTTTGTTCGTTGAGACAATCTTCGGAAATACTTATAAGATCACTAAAATTCTTTAACCTACGGGAATATACATCATCTTGGGTGACATAAGCTATAATTTTAGCGGTAGCAAAAATTGCTAGTTACTTGTCAAATATTAGTAAAATATTTCTCTCGGCTATAACTAGATCACACAGTAATCTTTTACCATTTTTTTTTAACTGTAAGGAAAATGATTTAAGTTTAACCAGCCGCCTTTTTTCTCTTATTTCTGATTTTGTAATGGAAAATGACTTCATTATTTCTCTGTGTTTTATTTTGTTTTTTTTTTTATTTACAATGGGTTCACTCTTGACCTCAATCTAGCCTGAGGACATAGATTAGATCTACGGTGGGACGAACTTGCCCAGAAGGAACTTATTTCCTCTTGCCTTAAATAGGTCTGGGTTATATGCGCTCGGGAATATAGACGCCGGCAGTGAATTCCACTCCTTGGCAGTGCGCAGTAAAAAAAATGAAGGAATAAAACAGGGAGAAAAAAGCAGCCATGCTGAGTTTTTGACTTTTACATATGCTTGTAACAGCCTATTCGGCATAAACGATATTGAATTTGTCTGGCGAACGACGAGGTTATGTGGGACTCCAAATTGTCGTGGTCAAGTTTTAAGAAGTGAATTTTGATTACAATAGATACAAAGTAGTATATTAAATTAACAAAAAAGAGACTATATATAAAAACATGATGTAAGACAATTATAATTAGTAGTCCACCAGGGTCTTGAACCCAGGGGATCATGACCTCGTGACTACCCCCTAGATCCGGCCTTGATCTACAGAGGCCTATCGCTAAAAACCTTATTACAGTGTACCTTCACCGCGGAAGGGGGGTATGAGACCCGGGAAACCGTAGTTAAGCCACCGGGACACCCATACCCAAGACCTTACCGTAACCTAAACTTTGGTCAAAGTAACGAGTACTAGAAAAATCTGACAGTCTTTCCAAGACCCTTTAAAACTTACTTGTAAAGCGGTCGGCCGGTGAGCATAAAAATCTTATCACTGGCAACTGAATTTATTGAATTTAAAATTGTAGTTTTGTAATCGTAATACAAAATATCTTCAATGGGTAATAAATAAATCTGGAAATCATATTCAAAATGCCGTTTAAAAATCAGTATCTTTGCGACATCTTTAATGACAATACAATATTGATCTGAATTTTATTTGTTTCAGAGCGTCCTATCGGTATGCGTCACGTGATCGCTTTCCTCTTGTTCCTGGCGACCACCGTATCGTACGCCACTCGCGTCAGCATGAGTCTCGGTATCGTCGCCATGACTAACCCCAATGATTACGGACACCCAGTAAGTAATTACCATAATGTTTTTGCTGAATCGCGCTTACAGGAAATTCATTAATATATTATTAATACTATAATATATTAAAGAGAAGATGAGGCGTTTTCGGAAGCAACTCTTTTATTTTTCCTAATTTTTACAATAAGCACAAAGAGAACACGCGTTCTTTACCAGACATCACGACATTTTCCCTTCGTATCTTCCCTCTCGTGCTCACACTCTACACCTCTCTTTCATCCATCGTTTTCTATTTTATTCCCCAAGACGAACTACCTTAGTCGATTGAACTAGTTCCTTGGACAAAATTATATATTTTATATATCTATATGTATTTTTAGAGTTTATATTTATAATTCAATAAACTCCAAGAAGCATCCATTATTTCAAATAATATTATAAATAAATTAAATATTATACATAAACAAAACATAATGTTACATCTGACAGCAGTGCTTAATTTAGCAATCATAAAATAAACATAAAAGATTTTATATATAATAACTATAACTTGATTCTGTCCGATTTGTAGTATTTTCTAGCTAATTTAAATATAAAAACATAATCTTTAAGTTTCGTGTAATCGCGTAATTAATAGCGAATGAAATATTCATAAATTACATTATTACATTTAACATTAATTGGAATAATAATATTAAACAACATAATTAGAAACTCGCTTATATTAAACGAAGCTAAGTACTGTAATGAAAATCTTGTGTTTCGAAATCAGTATATTTATTACAAAGTGATATTCACAGGGACGGTCGTAGGATGGGTGACCAAATTAATTTCTCTCACTCCTCTGTACTTCGGAAGGGTGTCCTGGCATCTGTATCTGCAGTCGTTAATACTCACTGTGCTCACGTGATGCATGATGACCCATTGTCCTTATTCGATTCGATTTCATCCATATAGAAGGCCCGGGCCTCAGCAATAGAGACATTAATAGACTGGTGATGATGCTATTGTTAATATCACTATAATGTTTAAACAAAAAGACTATATTTAAACGTGCATTTAGATCAAATAATTAAAAGAAAAAAATATATTTCACTCTCCAAAATAATATCCGCTAACAGCAACAATAGCATTTCGAATAGACTATTCACTTAGAAACTGTTATAAAAATGGCCAGCAAAAATTCAAAATATTTCTTCAGGTTTATCTTGTGACATCCACCAAAACAAATATTCAGCACGAGTTTATCAAGTTACAAGTCCTATGATACCGTATTACCGTCCATCCCCCGCAACGAAGTAGTTAGGGGTACGTGACGCAAATCGGAATGTCGCTAACGACTCAGTCGTGGTGGTGTCCCTACGAAAAATCGTTGTTCCCACGTTTCGAATAATTGATGGTCGGAACTCGTGCAGTCAGGTGTTTTGCTCGACGGCGACTGGTTTTTGAAAACGAAACTAAAGCAGAAAATTCAAGATCTAACAGAGTGTGGATGGTTTGCAAATTTCTATCACATCTTTGTGATAAGCATTTTGGTTAGCGTTGTTGGTTGGTTTAGAAATTATGTCTCCGTTTCCGTTCATTCTAGATTGATGATTCGTACGTCCATAGATCGCTGGCCTGTCGCCAGACTGAAAGCATTTAATTGAACTCCTAAAACAGAAAGTTGAACTTTTCATCCACGAAGTACGAGAGGAGTTCATAGAGTAGAATAATATCTGTATTAACTCTTTTTTGTATATCTTATACAGTTTATATTAAAAACACAATTTTCCACTAATTTGTAGTGATCTATAAAAAATCGTGCAATAGCTAATATTATGGTTCCTGTTCCAGGTATTTGAATGGGAGCGAAGTATCCAAGACACGATCCTGTCATCTTTCTTCTGGGGTTATATCATGCTGCAAATACCTGCTGGTATACTAGCTGGCAAATTTGGTGGCAAATTCCTGGCGTTCGGGGCCATGACTTGTACTGGTGTCATCAATCTACTGGTACCGTTGGCGGCTGTTCACGTAAGTTATCAAGCATCTAACCAATCTAAACTTGGACGCTATAACAGGCAGGATATAATTTTATATATTCTATTTTATTCATATACCTTCATAATATTTATATTTTTAAATTTATACGATTTATATGTTCACACAAGAAGATTTTTTTTACGAACTGACATCCATAAAGAGTATATTTGATTAGTCAAATTTTCAAATTACGAAAGGTGAATAATAAAAAAAAATTATGTTGAATTACAAAGACAAAAAGTTTGCATGTTGAAACCTACAACGAAATAAACGGTGGTACGGCACACCGCTACACCCGTAACCATGAGTTCAATTTTACTTGCATTTGTTTTACTAATATTATTCATTCATATCGGTTTGGTTTCTAATTTACTATTCCAAAATCCATTGATCACAAAGATAAAGAAATAAAAAAAAAGGAAATTGCAAAGCAATGTAATTTCTAATAAATCAGTGCTACTACGTACCCTTTACTAACGTCGAATTATAACAAAACTGAAAAGGCTCATAAAAAGGGGTGCCGTCCCGAAATTCAGCATTGTTACAATGAAAGTGCCTAATAAATCCCCAAAAACGGGTAAAGAGGGAATATAAAAAAGTGGGATTGTCGCTAGCTTGAGCCTGCGGGCGAGTAAAACAAAGTGAACTAATTTGTCACGACAGACTAGTGAAGGCTCTGACCGATGATAAAATATTTAAGATTTCATTGCTATAAACCGAGGAAAGGTGTGTTCGATTTGTTTGAGATAATTTTTTTGATGAACTTCTACTGTTCGCGTTATGGATGTTATACGAAAATGGATACAACTTTTTATAAAAAAAATTATACTTGCAATTTTTATTTTTTATTGATGGAATTGACAGTTAGTTTTGATGTGTTGTTTCTATATTCTGCTGGTAATAATCGTATGAGATCGTATGAATGAGGCTGATATTAAACTTCGTAATATGAAAGTGGTTTTTTCTATAACACGGTAGCCGAACAGAGATAAATTCGTACAAAGACCCGCATCAAATATCTCTTTCAATCTTGCGCAAACATTGCACTCGCCAGTTGCATGTAGCTAATTTTATCATAATATAGTGAACCTAAAATGGGCCATTATAACAAAATATACGGTACCTGACGCCCGTTTTCACTGAAATTACGAGTCGCCCAAATCTGTCGCCTAAATGTTTAGAAATAGCCTAAGGTGAAAATCCATTTCACCAATGCATAGGAAACACCTATCATTGTCTAAAGTTATAACATGCATTATGCGAGGCGATAGGCATTTTCGTAATGTGGCAGATCACCAATGTGTAAAGGGATAAAACAGAAAATGTTTATATGAAATCAAACTAATCTACTTAGGCAGTGAAAACGGGTGTGACACCAATTTTCACTAACCTAGACCAAATTTAGCTTAACTAGGAAACGAACGCCTAATATTAGGAATCGCCTAAGTAGATTAGTTTAATTACAAATAAATATATTTTTTTCTTTTATCCCTTGACATATTTATGACCTGTCGTATACGCATTAGCGTAACGTAAGTGAAATTCGTGCGACTGGTTTTTAATATAGTTGAAATATTATTAGATTTCAATATTGTTTTTATGTAAATTTCATAGTGATTCAATGCTTTTATTCATTTTGGGTGATTTATTGTAATAAATCTTATTTTTGTTTAGTAAGCTTGTGTTAAAGTTAAATAAATGACACATTGTCTTGATATAATTAGATGTTTAATTAGAAGCCAAGTACAATATATTGTTCGGATTTAGTAAGAAGGTTCTCATATCCTATGCACCAGACAAGCAGCAAAAAAAAGTGGTTCTGTTATTATACTTTACACGATGATAACAAGATCGATGAAACTACCGGAGCTGCTGAAAAACCAGAAATTATAACATATTATAATGAAACTAAAGGTGGAGTTGATGTAGTCGATCAAATGAAAGAAGAATATTCTGTGGGTAGGATGACTCGCAGATGGCCAATGAGATTATTTTTCTCAGTCCTAAATATTGCCGGTATAAATAGTCAAATTATATACAAAGAAAATACGGACCACCTTATGTTACGACGAATTTTTTTGAAAGAAATAGTACTGGCTTTGACTAGACCACATATAATTAGAAGATCCAAAGTAAATACTTTGCAGAAACAGCTGAGAAACCAAATCGCCCGTTTTGTGCCACCAGAACAACAAAATATACCCTCAAATAGAGAAGGAATATGTGCAGTATGTTCGTCCAAAAAAAATAGAAGGACCAAAAAAGGGTGCAATAGATGTGAAAATTTACTGTGCAACGAACATTGTATGTTCATGTGTCAGGACTGTTTTGCTGAAGTACATATCGTAGATACTGAAAACGTTTAAATTTGTTAATAAATCTTATTTTTTAATCTTTTAATGTAGGTTAAGGTAAAGACGTAGTTAAAATACCTAAAAAATATCCTAAGATATCCCAAAGCATTTTTTTTCATAAATATTAAGCATAAAACATTAATAAATGTTACTTTCTGAAAGTTTATGTTTTATTCTGTCCTTTTAAAATTATTGTAAATTTGTTAAACTACAATATAACAAAAAAAATATTATTGAAAATGGGCGGCAAAATGCTCCCCACGCGATCACTCACGTTTCATAGCAATGCGCGAATACTCTAGGGTTATGGAGGATGGGCCATGACTCTCCACGCTGGCCCAATGCGGATTGGAGGGTATTAACGACTGCAAATGCAGCCGGGACCAACGGCTTAACGTGCCTTCCGAAGCACGGAGTAGCTCGAGATAATAATTTTTTGGTCACCCATCCCGTGACCGACCCTTGCGAAAGTTGCTTGACGACTACGATCGCGGGCCGCGGCGCTTATCCACTACGCCACCGAGCTACTCAGTAAGAAAACATGCTTAACTATAATAGAATCCTTGTTTCCAGGGTGGTTGGATAGCGGTATGCGTTTGTCGGGTAGCGATGGGTTTGACTCAAGGTCTTCTATACCCAAGTTTGCATGGTTTGCTCGGTCATTGGGCTCCAGTCGCTGAGCGCGGTCGCCTGGGTACCTTCGTTTATGCTGGTAATATTTTATTATTTACTTTTCGTTGTCTGTTGCATGGTTTTCAAGAACTCTAAATACGATACGATATTACGTTATCCGTTTAAATGTTTAAACATTTGTCATAAAACAGTGAAAATGTTATGACGAAATAGTTTAACTGGTCCATACCTATATGATTTTACGATAGTAAAAAGCAAGGACAACTCTCAGGATTACCAATAATTGAATTAGCGAACAATAATTATTCAACTTGTTATAATCTAGTGAATATTTTTAATCTCATTAATCAACTCAGATTATCAAACAACCTTACAAAATACATTACAAACTTACAAAATACATTTTCTCATACTAACAGTTTTCCTGTAGTTCCTAATACGTAGTTCCAATTTAACGGGATTCCGATAATGTTGGACTGTATTCCACAAAATATTCGTCTGTATTCCACAAAAAGGGTAGTCTTGAACCTCACCATATAACACCAAGGAGGGGGGAATTAAAAAATCTTGAAAAAACGTCACGTGATTAATGGACGACCCTTAATCTATTCTCAATACTATTCTTTATTGGTTTTCTTTTGACGTACAATTGTTCTAAGTTAGATAAATAGATCGATGAAGAATTTTACATTTACATACAATAGCACATCTAGTTAATGAAAACTGTCTTTACTATTGGTTTTGAGCCTTGGTGCAGTGATGATGATTGAGATCTTATAAATAGGTACTATACTAATAGGTAATATACTCGTAGTAGCTTTTTTAAGTTTATATAAATTTTACCAATCTTCTTTAGGTGCTCAACTTGGTACTATTATTGAGATGATGACATCAGGTCTACTGTCGGCTAGTCGATGGGGATGGCCTTCAGTTTTCTACGTTGCTGGCGTTACTTGCTTGTGCTGGTCTGTGATGTGGCTAATTTTCGGAGCCTCAAGTCCTAGTACTAGCAAATGGATTTCAAAGGAAGAAAGGAAGTATATCGAAAGTAATGCCGGATCAGATGAACTGACCAGTCAGGTAATTATAGAATAATATACTTTAACAGTGGTTTTAATCGAAATTTTTCAATCGTGATTAGGTTTAATATTTAGAAAGTTTTCTATATGAAATACTTTTTTTAGAGTATGCCGACTCCTTGGAAGAATATCTTGACATCGCTTCCATTCTGGGCTATACTCTTCGCTCATTGTGGTCAGAGTTTAGGATTTTGGACTCTTCTCACCGAATTACCTTCGTACATGAATAATGTTCTGGAAGTAGATATTAAAAATGTAAGTAATTTATTTTCGCTTTCTTAGAACGTATTTATTAAATTTGTTTAACATATTTTTCTCTGAACACGATTTGGATCACAAGCCTATTCAAAAGAGTTCATTCCGAAATTTCTAACAGTTTTCATTAGCAAATTTTGCATAAAGCTTTCAACTCATAATGGCAAGAAATTAAGGTCACGCTTTTAAAAAATATTATCTTTGTACGCAAATCTTCAACGATATTATTACTTATTTTAGTAGATGATCCTACCAATGGGTTTTGACACTTCTTTTTCATAAGTTGCCTTTCAAATTTTAAATAAAGACACCTAAAGAACATTCATTACAATTGTGTGTGGAAGATATTGGATTTGATTCAAATCAAGAAAAGTATTTTTTAACTACAATTAAAAAGGCATTAATAATATCAGTCTAATTGTATATTCAAAACAACAATATTTTATAAATATACCAATATACGAGGATCAAACTGAAAGTTCTTAGAACTGGCCACTTATAAACAATATAATAAAAAAATAATTCTAAAATTTGAAAATATAACTCTTTGCCAATATTACTGAGTATATATTTCATTCATTTGTCATTTGTTTTACGATTTGGCGGCAAATTGAAAATTGTCTGTGTCACGTCATCATGAATTTAACACGAGAAAATTTTCGTGCAATGATTTTTTATGACTTTCGATGTCATTTAAGTCAACAAGAAAGTTATGATAGACTACGATTGGCCTTTCACGATGAAGCCCCATCTCGTGCGACTGTTTACAACTGGTTTAATGAGTTTAAACGTGGTCGCACTAATCTCACTGATGATTTACGTGAGGGACGGCCTTCTACGGCGACGACTGAAGATAACATCTGTGTTGTGCGGCGTATGATAGAGACTGACAAAAGAGTGACCTATCAACAGATTCGGACAAGCTTAGGCATCGGTATGAGTCAAGTGCACAAAATCCTCCACGAACATTTAGCGGTCAGGAAGCTTTGCGCCCGGTGGATACCTCATAATTTGACTGAGGCTCAAAAACTCCATCGTGTGGATTGGTGTCGTAAAATGATTGAAAGATTTAACGGAGGTGACTCAAATGCTGTGTTCGACATACTAACAGGTGACGAAAGCTGGATTTACTGTTATGATCCTAAAACCAAAAGACAATCTGCTCAGTGGGTGTTTCCTTTCGAGGAGTTGCCAACTAAAGTGAAGAGAGATCGAAGTGCGGGAAAAAAAATGGTGGCCTCGTTCTTTGGAAGGATAGGTCATTTTGCAACAATTGTGTTAGAGGATCAAAAAACAGTTTCTGCAGAATGGTACACTACCAATTGTTTGCCACTTGTCTTGGAAAAAGTTCGAGAGAAACGACCTCGCAGTAGGATCCTCCTTCACCACGACAACGCCTCGTCGCACACCGCCAAGCGAACGATCGACTATTTGGCGACATCAAACGTTGAATTACTGGGTCACCCGCCGTATAGCCCCGACCTCGCGCCTCGTGATTTTTATTTATTTCCAAAAATTAAAGAAAAACTTAAAGGAAAGCGGTTTATGAATGCTGAAGAAGCGGTGGCTGCGTATCGCGATGCCATTGAAGAGACCCCTAAGGACGAGTGGGCAAAGTGCTTTTCCCAGTGGTTCCATCGCATGCAGCGGTGTATTGACGTGAATGGACAATATTTTGAAAAGATATAATAAAACTAATAACTGGCTAATGTAATCAGTTTTTGATTTTCTAAGAACTTTCAGTTTGACCCTCGTATATTTTTTTTTTATTTGTATATATATAGCGCGATGTTTGTATAAATAATGTGTGAATTATATTATGTAATATACCATTGTTTATGATTTTTTAATGAAATCAGTTTTGCATTGTTTTGATATGCTACTGTGATGTTATGCTACTGAAAAATATACGTTCATTTCTTATGCGTTTAAAAAAGGTACTCTTAGATGGGACTCGAATCCACGACCTCTAACCACTGAACTACGTACAGGATACCTACAGGACTTATTTAAAACTGTTTGACCTCAACATTCTCGTATTAATCAAAACAATATTTTTATTTGCAGAACGGCTTGCTTTCAGCGTTGCCATATTTGGCAATGTACATTCTCAGCTTTGTATTTAGTTGGTTATCAGACTTCTTGGTCAACAGGAATATTATTACGTTAGTCACGTCAAGAAAGATTTTCAACACGATTGGTAAGCATAAAGAAACCTAAAATTCCTTAAATTATTTTTTTTACTTAAGTTATAAAAAATCTAGCATTTTTATTACTACCTATAATATAACTTGTCGACGTATCCCTGGCGGATTAGGTAGAGAGGACCGAACGCCAAAACGTACGGTCCTTACATACATCTTTCGCCTCATCCACTTTCATTGATCTTCATACATACTCGCCGGTTTTTATTTTCTTACTGATGCAATATATATTGACTTTTATTTAAATGACATGGCTTATCACAGGTGGTCTCATTTGTCACATGGTAAAGTGAATATTCTAAATGAATTAAGAAAACGAAAAGTTGAAATAAAATTTAAACATGCCGCTTTCGAGGCAAATAGCAATAAATAACAATAAATAATATTAAATCATTGGTGTCACAGAAAAGCCTACTGGGTGAATAGTTTTCATATTATTCCATGAATAGGTGGCAGAATAATTTTTGATAAACTTAGCATCATTGTAGTTGTATACTTGACAATGTTGAATAAGTGTAAAAGTTACAATAGATAGCTAATAAATTAAGAAACAGGAAAAAAATACTATTAAGTGACAGAAAAAATAATCAAATATATCAAAGTAAGTAAACGTTAGATACAGGACTGATTTATCATACCTCTCATAATCACATTTCTAGACTCAATTTGATAAAGTAATCTTTCAAAACAAACGAATAGTTCAGGTTTTATAAGACGTTATTTAATGTTAATTCAAAGTGAAAGTCAAAATAATCTTTATTCAAATATACTTCTTAAAATTACTTTTGAATCGTCCAACATTTTTCCCTACCACTCGTTCGGGACGTCTTTTGACTGATAAGAAGAACGAGCAAGAAACTCACCAGTTCTAATAGGAGTAATGACATTCACAAAAATCATGTCATTACCAGATCAATACATTATAAATAGAGAGAAAACAAAACTATAATCTTATAATGAAAACATTATCATTTAATAACAATGGAAACAAGATAATTTTTGATATATAATGAGTTTAGAAGAAATCACTTATCCTGATGCTGTTCTATCTTAAGTCCTATCATTCTTATGTGTTATATAATCGGATAGCTTATAATAAGATTTTTTAATTAATGTAAATATGGACTATCATTGTAATTGTTAATGATTCATTCATTGTTTTAGCTTTCTGGGGACCAGGTGCAGCTTTACTGGGTTTGTCATATCTGCCTCCTAATCACCTTCCTGTGGCTGTTTTCATACTAACTATCACTGTTGGTCTTAATGGTGCCCACTATGTAGGATTTATGGTGAGTTGTGAAGAATATGCCTACCCTATAATAAGCCCGAATTGATTTTAAACAGGAATATGGTAAGAAGATTCACTAACAAAATTTATCATCGCTCGGTAAATACTTCGAAAGACATGACCAAACTCGATATCGGTGAAACAAGTAAAGATTGTCTCAGTAATCTGTTATAATCTAGAGATGGACGAAGTAATCCGAATGTTCGGCCACTTTTGATTTCTTGAACTAATGCTGAGCTCAGGGGCGCAATCATTTTATGTGTTGTTTGGAATTGTGAAACTTAGATAACTTTCGCAAAGGTTAAAGGTTATATATTTTTATTGGTATTTAAGAACTGTAAAACATATTGTGTTACCATCAGCAGAGTCCAAAACATTAGGGAAATTTTGTCGTAAATATGTTTGGTACGACGTCATTAATCTAATTTTTTACCAACAGTTTTGACGGTTACTTATACTTTGTTTGGTGCATTTAGCAGTGACACAATTTCAGAAAATTGCTCAAACATGTACTCGAACTTCCGTAAATTTTCTTAGAAACATATGTAATATTTCAAATTTTTTCTTGATGTTCTATAATATGTTATGTGTAATTTCTTTAATTTAATCGATAGTAATTTTTATTTCATATCAAAGTTGTAAAATCACCTTACTTTAAAACTACTAAAATGTTTCATTGTTTGATTTTAAATAAACTATATTGTACATTTAAAAAAGTGCATATTTTCAATTACACATAGTATAAATATCAATTTAAAAATCAGTCACATGTTATCATCAAAACTTTTTTTAATTACAGTTGTCCCACATCGATCTATCACCAAACTTCGCTAGCACATTAATGGGTATAACGAATGCATGTGGCGGCATCTTCTCAATTATGGCGCCATTGAGCGTCTCTGCAGTTGTCAAAGACGAGGTAATAATACTTTAATAATAATATTGCACGTCGACTATATAGACACAAAGGAGTAACTTGTATTGTAAACCTTATCTTGTGTCTGATTGGGATTTTATTAAGATATATTTTTATAACTTTCTGTCATGCTTTTATTGATGTATATTTACTTCACAGAAACTTGCATCGGAATGGAGGAAGGTATTCTTCATATCAGTGGCTTTATATTTTCTGGGCAACTTGTTCTACATACTCTTTATATCTGGAGACATTCAAAGTTGGAACGAACCATCTTCCTCAGGAGAAGTCGGTAAGTTTTATATGTACAGCAATGCTGGGACTCTGTATTTTTTAATCGATTACATATCTTAATTAGCTTCTATGTTCAAAATTGTTTGTGGAAAATTAAAACTCGACTTGCTGAACGTACCAACAGAATCTCCTGATTCTACTCTGTTTCTCCAAAAATGAAATTTCGGATGTTTTGAAACTGCATCGTTGTGCAAATTATAAACATGATGTCAGAAAAACCCCATTATTGTAATAATTCAAAAATATGTTAAGAATTCGAACATGTGCGAAATTTAATTTTCAGGGAAATGGAGTGTTCCTTCAGGTTTTCAGTAAAATATAAATTTAAGCGATCTATTTTGCGTTTCATTGTAAAATAATTTAGTTTAAAACTGATTGGAGAAATTTAAGTTATAAAATGTCAGCTATTCTTTAAATGGGTAGCATACCCATTAATTAAAATTACCAAGTTACTTCGGAAAATGATAAAAAACATCAAAAATCTACATACTGATTAGAAGTGACCGACAAAACTGCCAGCGAATCAAATTGTACATGTACTGTATGACCTTTTAAATTAAATTAAAATTATTTATACATTTAATTTTCAGAAGAAGGAGAGAAGAAGAAGAAGACTTCTAATGTATCGAATGTCAGAAGACCCAGCATAGGTGAACAGTTATTCTAGTCAAACGTATATCGGAAATGCGTAAAATTTTTGTCACTACTTGTGTGAGATTTTTTGTCACAATCAGAAGCTACGGCAAATCTTTCGATGAAATTTTCGAAATATGATAAATGTCTCCATTCGATATTATCATGTAGTTTATAATAAGCGACAAAACAAAACAGAGAAGAATTTTTTGATGAGAAATGCTTAAAATTCACTTACTGCAGGTACTCGGAGTTTTTTTTTATTAAAAAGTGTCAATTACGGATTTTTGAAATCTTATATATTAATTTTAGTCTATTTAATTTTAACCCTTCGTCTACTTCAGATATTGAGTTCTTTCATATCGAAATTCATAGTTTCATATGTAACTGAATTTGTTTTCATTTAGACCGTTTAAAGTTAAAGCAGCTTGCCAGACAGCACTAGCGGTGTAACTTATGGAGTTAAGTCCGACTTTCACGACCACGCATTAGTTTTAAAGAAAAAGTTTAAAATTCTAACCACCTATATCGTAAATTAAAAAGTTATCTTTAAATATGAATTATCATAATACAAAAATAAAATTACAGAATGTGTTCGCTCATATTATTTTAATAAAATGATAATTATGATTTAAGAAATTAGAGAAATGTAAATATAGTAAATTTTCATGTTGTAAATTCATTGGGTCATAGATACTCGAATATTTTTTTATCTATTTATACATATTTTTATGAAGTGTAAAAGACTTATAACATCAATTTATTCATTTTAAAAACTAGAAAGACTTTCCGTGTTTTGAATTTAAAACCAAAGAACGATGCCGTGAAAAGACAAAGCGTATGTGTTGGCTATTGTTATTATTAAGAATTACTTAAATGTTATTGTAAATAAATTATTTATTATTAAGATAAATAATGCGTTTTATTCTAGAAATAAAGGCCGAATATTGTAAAATAAAGCAAAGACATCATATCTTATCAAAAACAAATAAAAAGAAAACATAAAAGAATCTACGCTTTTGATTGCATTTATCTATATGTAGATCTCTTACTCGTAGTTATTAATAAAAAAAGGTTTAGCGTTGAAATAAATTAACGCTGAGGCTGCACACAGTATTAGTTAAAAGTCACCAAACAGAGAATTTGCAAAGGTTAACTTAGTACGAAGTTCTACGGGCGTAATGTAGACAGGTGTACCGAGAAGGTAGACAGATTACTGATTCTCTGTATAATATAAATTAGGATAAATACTAAAATTGCAGGTTTAGCGACTGAGTAAATTTACTCTGACGCTAAACGCTAATGTAAGGTATTTTGATATTTAAAGTAATTAATTTACCGCGTCGTATATTGTTTGCATCACTGTATTCGACAAATAATTAAGATGCCTATCGGAAAAATAGAACCGTTCGATTTAAACTCTAAACAGTGGCCGGCATACGTTCGACGCGTAAAACAATTTATTTTGTTGAACGAAATAAAAGACGAATTAACAGTGTCAACTTTAATCACGGTGGTAGGAGACGCGGCCTATACGTTGATGTGCGATCTTTGTTCTCCACAACATCCAGAAGAAAAAGAATTTGACGAATTAGTCAATTTAATGAGCGAACACCTCGAGCCACAACGGTCCGAGATAGCTGAGAGACACGTATTTCGTTTGAGAAGACAGCGACCGGGCGAATCACTCACGGAGTATTTACAACACTTAAAACACCTCGCCACAACGTGTAATTTTGGCTTGAGATTAGAAGAAAACCTCCGAGATCAATTTGTTTCTGGATTGGCGAACGACGTAATGAGATCGCGAATATTTGCGGAAAAGAACATCGACTATAAAAAGGCGATCGAACTGGCTCTAGCGCTGGAGGCTGCAGACAGGCATGCGGAGTTGAGCGCGGCCGCCACTTCCACTACGGCGAGGATCAGCAGCGCACAGGCGGGTGAAGACCTGCATTTGCTGAGATCAGGGCGCGGTGCCCGTAGAGGCGCAAGCTCGTCGGCGGCGAACGGCGGCGCTGGCGCAGGCAGAGGCGCGGGCGCAGGCATAGGCCCGGGCGTAGGCTCGGCGACGATGGCAGCCGCCGACGAAGCGGGGCGGAGCGGCGGCTGGCGCGATAACCGCGCGGCCGCTTGCTGGCGGTGCGGGAAGTCGCACAATCCCAACCGGTGCCGTTATAGTAATTATAATTGTGATAAGTGCAATCGACGCGGCCATTTAAAAGTGATGTGTGGTCAGGTTCAAAACTATAATCATAGTGTTCGACAAAATTTTATGAGTGATTCTGAGGATGAATTTTACAATATACAAACATCTGTTATAGGTAACAAACCTTATTATATTCAGTTGGTGATTGAAGGACAATCAGTCGAATTAGAAATAGACACAGGTAGCCGAATTTCGGCTATAAGTGAGGAATTTTATAAACAGAGATTTAGCCATAAGTGTATAAAAGTGGATAATATTATTTTACATAGTTACGCCGGGGCACGAATCGATACTATCGGATATATACTTGTGGAGGTGGTATTGAATAAGATTCAAGTAAATAATTTATCTTTATACGTGATTAAAGGCGGAGGTCGACCACTCCTAGGCCGTGATTGGCTAAGAGCCCTAAAAATTTCACAAATAAATTTAAATTCATTAGTACTCGAAGATCGAATCGTGACCCGATTACGCGATGAATTTCCAGAGGTATTTATGGATAAGCTAGGAACCTGTAAAAAAGCTTTGCACTTGCAACTCGTAGATGACGAATGTGTGTATGTGCGCGCGCGGCCCGTGCCGCTGGCGCTGCGTGAGCGCGTCGAGCGAGAGCTCGCGCGACTCGAGCGCGACGGGTCCATATACCGCGTGGAACACTCCGACTATGGCACGCCAATAGTACCGGTCATTAAAAGCAACGGGGATATACGAATTTGTGGTGATTATAAAATCACCATTAACCCGAAATTAAAACGTGATTTTTACCCTTTACCGCGTATTGAAGAACTGTTCGCTACTTTGAGTGGAGGCGAAAAATATACTAAAATTGATTTAAGACATGCCTATGAACAGGTCTTGTTAGACGAAGAGTCGCAATCGTACACAGCCATCACAACACATGTAGGCACTTTCGTATATCGTAGGACTCCGTATGGCTTATCTTGTGTTCCAGAAAAATTTCAGAAATTGATGGAGGAGACCTTGCGCGGTATACCCGGTACGGTAGTATTCTTAGACGATATTTGTGTAACCGGGAAAGATGAAAGTACTCACATGCGTAATCTACGTGCAGTGCTAACACGGTTAAGGGATATGGGCTTGACACTAAAACTAAACAAATGTACGTTTATGCAAAGCAGCGTAACATATTTAGGTTTTATTATTGATAAAACCGGTTTGCATCCAGACCCAACAAAACTTGAGGCGATAACTGATGCCCCCACGCCACAAAATGTAACGCAATTACAAAGTTTTTTAGGTATGTTAAATTATATGGCAAATTCATTACAAACCTTAGTACAATTTTGTATCCCTTACACGAATTGTTACGAAAACAAGCGAAGTGGTACTGGAATTCACGATGCGAGCAAGCATTCGTGAAGGCAAAGACAGCTTTGTTAAACAAGAACGTGCTCGCACACTACGAGGAGGGCCTTCCCCTCGTGTTGTCCGTGGACAGCAGTGCGTATGGGCTGGGCGCGGCGCTCTCGCACCGATATCCGGACGGCCGGGAGCGGCTCGTGTGCGCGGCCTCTCGCACGCTAAACCACGCCGAAAAAGGTTATAGCCAGCTAGATAAGGAAGCCTTAGCCATATATTTCGGTGTCACTAAACATCATCAATACTTATTCGGTAGACGATTTATTTAAAAAACGGATCATAAACCGCTCACTTATATTTTTGGGAAAAATAACGGCATTCCCCAAACGGCAGCGAGTAGGCTGCAACGATGGGCTACCCGTCTGGCTGGTTATGATTTTACCGTGGAATTCGTTCGTTCTGAGAATAACGCGCCAGCCGACGCTCTGTCGAGGTTACCTTTGCAACACGCTCGACAACTTGCGGATACAGTATCGTATTTGAACTTTATCGATGAAATGTTACCTGTTAGTTATAAAGAAATAGCTAAAGAAACCAAAAAAGACGCCCGATTAAATAAAATTTGTGGATTCGTGTTGTTCGGTTGGCCATCAGCGAGCAGTTGTGAAGAAGACAAGCCTTACTTTGAAAGAAAAGATAATTTATGTGTAGATTTGGGATGTTTAATTTATAAATATAGAATTGTGGTGCCCCCAGTACTAAAAGAGCGCGTATTGAAAGAGATTCATGAAGGCCACTTAGGTATGAACAAAATGAAGAACATAGCTCGTAGCTATGTCTATTGGCCCGGTATAGACAGGGATATAGAAGAGACGTGTCGCGCATGTGCCGCTTGCCGCTGCGTACGCGACGCGCCGCCACACACCTCACTCCACCCGTGGGAGTTCCCACAGCACCCGTGGCGACGCTTACATGCAGATTTCGCGGACTGCGCGGGTAGACGTTTTTTGATTATCGTAGACGCACATTCAAAATGGATAGAAGCTCTAGAAATGAAAAGCACTACCGCCCATTCAACAATCAAAGCGTTTAGAACGATTTTTGCTAGATTCGGACTGCCTTCGCAACTGGTCACTGATAATGGCCCACCATTCTTTTCAGATGAATTTAAACAATATTGTATAAAAAACTCCATCATACATACGACATCGGCACCGTACCGACCTCAAGGAAACGGTGAAGCAGAAAATGCAGTGAAAACAATCAAAAAGGCCATTAAAAAAGCTATGTTCGAAGGAGACGACATCTCGGTCGCTCTTTGTAAATTTTTGTTCCAATACAGAAACTGTGAGCATGCAACAACGGGAGTCTCCCCAGCCGTTGCGTTAATGAACCGACGGTTGCGCGGGCGACTAGATGCGCTGCGGCCGGACCCGGCTGCAGCGGCGCGCGAAGCGCAGGCAAAGCAAATCGCGTACAACGGTGGGCGGCATAGAGAATTTGAGGTGGGAGAATCCGTACTAGCCCGGGACTATACGAATAAGGCGGGTAAGAGTAAGTGGTCAGAGGGTCGCATAATCGAAAAAACAGGTCCAGTTTCATATAAGGTAGGCATAGGCCAAGACAGAACCCATCGCCGCCATGCTGACCAAATTATTTCAAATAAATCGCGGTACTCGTTATCGCGCACTAATCCAGTCTTAGAGGTCGCGAGCAGCGCCGATAGGGATGTGGAAGCGACGGAAGCTGTCGGAGATGCCGACGGAGGGGCTAGGGGGGACGCGGTGACAAAGAGCACGAACGACAGGGCGGGCACACCGCAGCCTGCGCGCGCGCCACCGCTGGCGCGCGCACCACCCTCACCGACAGCTTCCGAACGCACTTGGAGATATTATAATCGCGATTTAAAAAAATATATATAAAGAAATTAAATTAAAACTATTGTTTAAATAGTTGTTATATTGTTATAAAATATATATAATTTTAGGTTTAAGAGCATAATTTATTATCAAAGGAAAGGTGGTGGGCAAATATTTAATAAGTAGCACTTAATATTAAAAGAAATCAAAGATCCACAAATAGATGTACTAATCTACATTCTTATTTTGTATAGCGGGAATGTAGCCCTTTATTTTATTTAAGAGGGAATATATGTAAGGTATTTTGATATTTAGATTAACAGTTTGTAGGTAAGATGTAAATCATGCTCCATTCTATAATAAACCAGTCAGTTCTCGACCTTGTCGTTTTACTTACGTCTCCCGACACGACAGCTAAAACCTCGTTTATTCATAGCACTGTTAAGGTATAGGCAGAGAGTTTCTAGTTATACAAGTACAAGACACTGCCTTTTTGCTTTATATTTTTTTATTTCTTTACTCATCCCAAACTAGTATTCCTTACTCATCCTGAAACCAGTATTATTAAAAAAAGTATGGATAGCTGAACGTTTCATATTTTCTAAGAAAATTATTATGTAAACCATAGAAATACTTATCGAATATTAAAAATTAAATATACAGGTTTAGTTTCTCAAAGTACCTACTCGTATTACCTACATTTTAACCTAAAATTTTAATAAATAATAATTTATATTATCAGTCAGTATAAATAATGAATTGAAATTATTTATATGCAAATAAATAGATTGTGACTAAGCGAACAGCGCGAATGCGACAGATAATTCTTTA